TCAATTGTAAGTCGTTTTTAACTAGATTTCTTCAATCATTAACATCTTTTAACATGATTTCAACTTAAAATCAATGATTTTCATAAGGGAAATTGAGTGTTTTGGGTAGAACCTAGGTTTTTTAAAAAATTGGAGATTTGGACCTCGATTTGAGGTCCGATTTCAAAACAAATCATATATTTGGGTTCGTGGGGGAATGGGTAATCAGGTTTTGGTTCGAACCTCGGGTTTTGGTTCGAACCTCGTGGGCCCGGGGGCGATTTTTTACTTTTTGGGTAAAACTTTGGAAAATTCATTTTCATGCATTGGGGTTGATTCATTTAGCGTTTATTGATGTAATTAAGTAATTTGTGACCAGATACGAACGAATTGGTGGTGGAATCACGAGGTAAAGCTATAGTGGAGGCTTGAATTGTGTTTGTGGCATCGAGGTAAGTGTTTGGTCTAACCTTAGCTTGAGGGATTAGGAGTTGTGTCCTATTTGTTATTTATTTCTTGTTGAGTACGACGTATAGGCATGGTGACGAGTATCTATACGTTGGTGTCGAGCATGACCGTGAGTCGTATATTGTGATTTTCATGACTTCATTGTGTTATCCATGCCTTGGTGAAGGTTCNATTAAGTAACTTGTGACTAGATACGAGCGAATTGGTGGTGGAATCAAGGAGTAAAGCTATAATTGAATCATGAATTGTGTTCGTGGTATCGAGGTAAGTGTTTGGTCTAACTTTAGCTTGAGGGATTAGGAGTTGAGTCATATTTGCTATGTGTTAATTGTTAAGTACAACGTATATGCATGGTGACGAGTATCTATACGTTGGTGTCTAGCATGCCCGTGAGTCTTTATATTGTGATTATCATGACTTCGTTGTATCTTTCAGCCTTAGTGGTGGTTTCTATTTGTTGTTTAAAGTTTGTGGAAGGAATTGTGACCTATAAATATCGAGGAGCGTGACTCAAGTTGTATAACGAATTGTGAAAGTGTAAGTGAAAAATTGAACCTCTAGAGCATTGGCTCGAGTAGTGAAGTGAATTGTGAAGTAAAAGTGAGAAAGAGAAGAGATCATTATGTTGCCCCCTTGTCGGGCTATTGTTGAGTTGTGGTTCCCTTGCATTGTGTTCTTAATTTGTATTACGGATGCTTAGGTTGATGATTCTTTGTGTTGAGTAAGGGTTATGGTTATTCTCGAGGAACAAGTTTGATTATAGCTGAGGTAGTTAGATGTTGTAACAAGTTTGATTATAGCCGAGGTAGTTAGATGTTGTAACAAGTTTGATTATAGCCGAGGTAGTTAGATGTTGTAACAAGTTTTGTTATAGTTGTTTCTCCCTTGTCGGGACGTAATTACTTATGCTGTCAAATCCCTTGCCGGGATAGTGTAGACCTTATTGATCCCTTGTCGGAACTCTCGTTATAATTGATAATATTATATGTGGATCGGGTTGCACACCGCAACAATATTATATGTGGATCAGGTTGCACGCCGCAACAATATTATATGCGGATCGGGTTGCAGGCCGCAACAATATTATATGTGGATCGGGTTGCACGCCGCAACAATGATAAATGATATGGATCGGGTTGCACGCCGCAACAGTGTTGTAAAATAATGGGATCGGGTTGCGCACCGCAACAATTATTGATACAAGTGTGTTTAGTTTGGATACTAGTTTCTTTTGCTTTGCTGTGAATTCTAAGATGCCCTTAGATTGTTACTCTGGATTTACTGTTAATACTGGTATACCCCCGCAACATGTTTCCCCTTCCCACCTTTACTTGCTTATTCCTGCTTTACTTTCCGCTGTATATTATATAACTGCACAGGTTTATTTGGTAGTCTGGTCCTAGCCTCGTCACTACTTCGTCGAGGTTAGGCTAGGCACTTACCAACACATGGGGTCGGTTGTGCTGATACTACACTTTGCACCTTTTTGTGCAGACCCCGGTGTTGTAGATTTCAGACCGCGGTAGGATTGCTGATTCTTGTTCATCAGGCGACCCGAGTTAGTCCTGCAGACGTCCGCAGGCCTTGGCGTCTCCTTCCATCTACTATTCATGTTTCTTTCATGCATTTCTAGAGACAGCACTGTATTTATTTCTTTCAGACCTTTATTCGTAGTGTTTTTAGACCGTCTGTGAAACTGTGACACCAGTTTTGGGTAGTCGAGATTCTAACAGTTGTATTGGATTCATGTTCTGATAGCTTATTGTTTTTTCTTCCGCTTATGTTAAATTCCGTTGTTTAAATGTTATTACTTCGAAATTGTTAATGAATATAAAATGGGTAAAAAGGTAAATTGTGCAAATAATTGGCTTGCCTAGTTCGTATTAGTAGGCGCCATCACGACTTCCGAGGTGGGAAATCCGGGTCGTGACTAAAGATAGAACGAATTGTACCTCGAATTAACTCTAAAGCTAAAACTACTAAGACCCCTTTTCTTTCCCTTCTCCAAAACAATTCATAGTTTCAATGAATTACAGTAATATTAATAATCATAGGACGATTTACGGGATACCACAAAAGGTTCAAGTTTTTTACTTTGTTTCCAACTGTACTCAGGCATTTTTCGATTATGAAAAAAAAAAAGTTCAAGTTTTTATTTCTTAGAAATAAATTACACATTCAAAAAAAAAATATCACTCAAGTTGATTGATAACAACAATATAAGCAAGAAAGTTCACCTCTTTTTAAGAAAGAAAATTAATCGTTTAATGAGAAAATATATACATACCCCAATGGACCACAAATCTTTAACGGCGTTTACCGGCAGCTCATTAACGGCTTCGCGGAGGAGACGTAGGTTCTCCTCCTCACTCAACTGCATGTTTCCCTCGACGCTGTTAACTTCCGCCGCAACTTCACCGGCCATCTCGTTTATCAGGGAAAGTGGCTACTTTGAACCAAATAAATAAATCGCACTATTTTCCCCTTTTCTTTTCAAAGCTTCAAATTTACTTCTCGTATTAGTATTAGAAATTAGAAATTGCTGAATTTTGATATTCCTTAAACTTTTGGGTCATTCATAACTTTTGCCCTTTATTATTAACTTATTAACCAAACATTATAAGTCATATTAGAGTGTAACTCCTAGGATCTGAACATGTGAAATAAAGCTATTTTTTGAGCATTTTTGTTTAGGGAATCCAACAATTATTTTATTATTCAAACAATTTATCTCTTTTTATTTATACAATATAATTTTAGTTATGCCATTTTATGTGTATATATATATATATATATATATATATATTATCTTTACCTGTAAAAATATCTTCATTAATTGAAGGGATGCTCTTGTTTTCTAATAAGATAATGTTAATTTCATTAAAAGAGTACCAAGGAGGTACTAAATGATTTGAGTTATTCTATAAGTGTACCAGTGATCAAAGATGGATTCATAATTTGAAGAACGCAAGCATAATAATATCTTTAATGTAAATCTATTTTGGGGTATGTTGTTGAAAATCTATCATTAGTTGCAACGACCAAAGGGGTGTAAATTTGTTTGATTCGGCCAATTTTGGGTTTATTCGATTCAAATTCTATTATCAATTATGGAGTTTTGAGTTAACAATTTGCTTTATAAGACATCATAATTCATTATTATATTTTTTTGGTTGATTAAATTAGTACCATAGTTGAATTTGTTTCTCACTCCAATTATCTAATTTTAATAAGTCATCTAACTTTTTCTTGAAAGTGTTCGAAACTGTACATACAAAGAAAAACAAAACAAAAAAGGAAAAGAACAATAAAAGGACAAAAAGAAAAGGTACGAATGGTAGCCAAACCAAAGCAGGGAAATGGGAAATGAGAAACAGAACAGAAGAGTGAAAGGCCAAAGAAAAGAAAAAGGAATTGGCTGGTTGCAAACTAAGCTGCTAGACTTTTAAGTAAAAATTATCGTATTTGATAGCCCTCATTTAATCTAAACCCATTTTTTAAAAAAATTTTAACTTGTACCAACTTTTTAAACAATTTCAGCCCCTTTCTCCTCCTCCTTCGTGCTATGAAACTTCAATTAATGGGATGATTGCCATAAATATATTTATCAAATAATTTAAAAGTATATTATAAATAATTACGTAAGTTAGTAGACAATAATTTGTGAATATTTCCACGTACGTAAGTTAGTAGACAATGATAATTCTGTTCTTTTCACGTTTATTGTTTCTAAAATTTATAATTTAGATACTGTTGGCAATCTGATTATTTATCTAGTATGTTAGAAAGCTTTTTCAAAAACCTCAGCTTATATAGTGCTGAAGTTTTTACAAATGAACTAAATAACTTCAGCATCTTCTGCTGAAGTTTTTGACAAAGTTTTATGACAAAACTAATAAATCCAAGACAAAAAACTTCAGCTTTTAGTGTTGAAGTTTTTACAAATGAACTAAATAACTTCAACATCTTCTGCTGAAGTTTTTGAAAAAGCTTATCCAGGACAAAAAAAACTTCAGTTTATTTAGTGCTGAAGTTTTTATAAATGAACTAAATAACTTCGGCATCTCCTACTAAAGTTTTTGAAAAAGTTTAATGACAAAACTAATGAATGCAGGACAAAAAAACTTCAGCTTATTTAGTGCAATTACAAACAAAAACTTCAGCAAATAGAGAACAAAACTTCAGCTACTATGCTTAAGTTCAACAATTACAAACAAAAACTTTAGCAAATAGAGAACAAAACTTCAGCTATTATGCTTAAGTTCAGCAATTACAAACTAAAACTTCAGCACACTTGCTACTTCAGGCCTGTCTACTAGAATGCTGAAGTTTTGCATGATTGACTTTGCTACTTCAGCCCCGTATGCTGAAGTTATGCGAAAAAGTGGGTAATTTGCAAAGCGGACACAAGTTAAAACGTGACCCAAAAAGCGGGTATAGATGCAAATGCCCCGACTTTTAAATATATGGACATGCAAAATAATAATAAAAAAGAGTTTAAGAAAAAAAGGCACCAAAAAAAAAAGGGAAAGAGGTACTAGACTACTAGACGGTTGTCGTATCAATTATCAAAATACCTTTAAATTTCAAAATTCGATCTAACTTTTTTACAATACTAGTCTCTATGAACTGTGTCTGGCACATTATTGCCCATCATTCATCACACATATTAACAACAATCATGGCTTTATTTTTTAGCTAGTAGCCATAGGCTTTTGATCCTCAATATCTATTGCTTGAGTACAAGAATGTACTTTAGTTAGATAAAGGAAAACAAACTTAAATTATTAAGGTGTCCTCTCCTTGGAAACACCATGAGAATTCACAGAGACGAATTAATACGATCAAGATCCACAAATCCCAGAAGCACTGCCCGGTTGCGTTCTTTAACCTTCACCTGATATATAACTCTGCACATTAAAAACCCCTTTCAAGGTGCTAAACACCACTAAATGGACTGAATCCTATTATGCACTATGGACTAAATTAACATACCTCGAGGCTTCAGGCCACATTTCTGTGATTAAGGTTTCCCCTGGATAGACATGTAGCAAAAATCTGCCAGATATGCTCTTGATCAAGGTGTGGTCACCTCTGCAAATACGTCCAATGATAGCCCTAATTGCAAATCCAAGCGTGCACAGCCCATGCAGTATCGGGCGAGAAAATCTGGGCATAGTTACACCAAAAGATATGCGACATCTTAATTACAAGAAACCTAATAAAAAGACAGTAACTTAACATTGCATCAACAGCACCAGAAACATAACGAGGTTCGACACTGATACAAGTTTAGGACATCAGAAGCAAAAACCAACCAAGTTGATATCAACTAAGCCTCAACGGCAAATCAATTGGTGCAACAGCAAATTAACATGAGAATTAATTAACCTTCAAGAACCATTCTATATCAGGCTATGTTCTCAAAGTCACATAATGTATTTCCACCACGGCCACTGTGTGAGCTTACTTGACAAAAGCACGAAGAGCAAAAGTTGAAAAGTAAAAGGAATGTCGACATTTGTAGACACTGTACAAATATGTCTAAGCATTGTATCCAAGTCTAGAATTGAATTTCGTGGTGTTTTTAGATTCTAAATTTATTCAAAAAATGCATGTACAAATATGTCTAAGCATTGTATCCTTCAGGGAATGTCCAAGAAGAAAGTCAAGTCCTGAAGATGGGAAGGAAGAGTGCCCTTGTTTTTGCTTTTCGTTGCGGTTACAAGAAAGTGTTTTTAGCAGAGGAGAACTTGGGCATTTGGGAAGATTCCACAAAAGATTTCAATTGGCAGCTCTGGATATATAGCTTTTCTTTAACATAACGTGTGTGATTGGCTGGTAACATTTCAGACAGGTAAACTCAAAGGGCCAAATTGCTTAACTCGCTATAATATAACATTTGTAGAACTTAGAGAACTATCTTTGGTTAAGTAGACTTACTTAAATTCGGACATATTTCATTTGAAAAATAAATAACCAAAGCACAATTTTCCTAGAATGTCTTTTCTGAAACATGCTTAGCAGTTTGCACTGTGAAGGCACTATCTTCAGTTTGATAATTTTCTTCCTGTTTTGCAATATATGGATGGTTGGTTCAACCCCAAATATCATGCATCCACTAACAATTGTCACTATTTATTTTTCCTGGAAAAGTATGTACTTTACAATCATCGGTTAGTTGCAAATAGTAGGACATGTTATTCAGTAAAAGGATGGAGCTGTCCATGGTAAACATATTACCCTGCAATACTTGCAACCAGAGGATCAGAATGCAAGGGATTGTCATCACCAGATAGCCTATACAGCAAAGCCTGCATCACGTCATTAGAAAAGAAAAAAATTCCATTGTTAGCATATTGCAAACTTTTAAAGCTCTACAGAGGATGAAGTAAATCTACAAATTAACAGTTTAGGCATAGAATGGAAGCATATTTAACTTTTCAAGCTCTCCAAATAGGACGAAGTAAATATATGAATTACCACAGTCTAGGTATAGACTTGGAAGCATCAATCCAAGTAACCTACCAGTGATGCTTGTGTACATTCCTCGACAACAGCAAAAGGTTGACTTTTGGGGATTTTAGGAAAAGCAGTCTGATTACTTGGATTTCTAGAGTAAGAATAAGGCCGAGATGGCTTTGAGAATCCACCTGAACCTCTCAAATAAATAGACATCCTGCAATTAAGATATCATATTTACTACTATTAACTGTAGAACAATAGCTTCACACTATCAGTTAAATACTTAAATTAGAACTTACCGGTTCATGCATAGGGGTTCACCTGACTCTTTCTCGTAACTCACAATTTCAATTTCAATAACAGCTGCTTTACCTGTCATAAACCAACAATCAATCAATAAATATCCTCTTTTCTCCTTGCTGCCTCAAGAATCAAATGACACAACGGCATTTTTATTTATTGTAATCATCTTCAAAAAACCATTAGCTACTTCACGAAGAAAAATGAATGTTAAGCTTCAAAATCATATTCCCTCGACCCAATTGTGCCGCCTCCTAGTAAATAAATGTTTTAGTACAACAGCAGAGACTTGCCAAAAACTATTTGCCTATAGCTCAAAAGCCTTCACGTCTAGTTGTCTATATCGTTCTTCACATATCTTCATTTTGGTTTACATTTTCTTGTTTGTTTAGCAGGGATAAGTCTTGTCCTCATTTGGTTTTTGTGTTTTCTATTCACAATCGTACCTTTATCGTGCAATCCTGCAACGCTCGCTTTATTTAGTATCTGCATCAATAAGATTGAGGGAAAAAATTATTCTGTGTTGACAAAGAAAAGGAACAAAAAAGTTTATAAAAACAGACAAGGACAGAGACAAGTACTGAGGTGCCATTTTGTAAGAAAATTAAACTGTAAAAGGATTTCAACTAACTCATGTTTCAAGTGTAGTAGTCTCGGGAATGTTGTACCCCTCAATTATGCTTCTCCATGTGGTGGAACTAGTATGTGTAGACATGACAAGACTCCAAATAATTAAAGGAAAAAGTTAAGAACAGATAAGGTTCGGAGATGTACATATAAATGAATTCAACAAAAAGGTGTTTATCTAAATAAGGCATCAACATGTATAAGTTGGGAATGAGTGGTTAGGTTGATAGGACATCTATAAAAAGAAACAGCAGTACACAACAATGCATCCTACTTGTTACGTGAGGAGAAAGTTACTTCTAAATTACAATTATAATCCTCATCTCTATGAGACACCTTCTGCAAGTAAAATTAAGAATTGAAGTATCTTGACATAAAGTAATAGAAGATTCTTAGCTCAGACTCTTACACAACCACTAGAAGGAAGGGGCTTGTAGATTTCAATGTATTGTTGTCCATGCAGTAGAAGGCGCGGATCATATCTAGCAAAAGGAAGAAAAAAATGGCATTCTTCAGCAATTAATTTGGCATTATAGAGAGATTCGATTCCTGTTGTATGTTCGCAAAAGTATTGCATCTTTAGTAAGTTAAGAAAACATAGAAAAGGAACGCCCCTGCCCCACAACCCCAAATATTGGATGTGTTTACTCACTGCAAGCCCGGAATCTTCGATATTTCTGAACCAACTCCATTAACAAACAACGCAACAAAAGTTGGCAAGACCTACGAAGACAATCAAGGCCAGCAAAAGAAAGGAAAATCAATCACAGTAACACCAATTCATCGTTACATTCAGCGGCGGAGTTAGCTTGGATTAAGGGGGTTCAATTCATCCCCCTTAGCAGACAAATAACAAATTATACCGTGCAAATAAGGTTAAATATTTGCAACAAGCAACCATATAAAATTCAAGCTGCAAATTGAAACTCCTAATTCTTATGCAAGCAAGTTCATCACTTCATGCCAATAACAACAATATACCTGGATGAATTCCTGCCCATCTGCATTATAGACATATTTGAGCTCTTTATTATCAACAGCATCATTTCCACATGCTCCGATGCCTAATGCATAAATAGCAGCATCCCTGTTTCAACCATTACAATGAGCATCATTCAAATGATTAAGAAAATTAACCAAACAAAATTCAATCCACTCCTAATTATAAAAGCCTAAATCAACCCTCAGTATGCCAATACAACGGAAATACTCATTAGCGGATATAACACTTCCACAGCTGGTGCGATTGCACCACTGCCTTTCGACTCGACCTATATTTATAGTTTAAAAAAATTAAATGTATTACGACCAAATCCTCGTCAATTGTCACAAATCTAATTGCTAAACAATAAGAAAACTGAATAAGCTACTTGTTTGTACCAGTATATATGTGGCTTACCTTTCAGTATAAGTATATAAAGTCTGCAGAGAGCAAAACACACAGATTAATAACGAAATTGAAACAAATTTGAGAAGGGAGAGAGTAAAAAACGATCAACATTACCTCAGGAAATTTGTAAGAAATGACAGATTCGGGATTAAACTCAGAACTTCCAGCGCCTGCCATTGAATTTTTGCTAAAGGAATGAGAAGAATCTATCAGTTTCTGACGAAGAGTAGTATAATTGGGCTTTGGACCGCACATCGAGGTGGATAGTGGAATTTTGTATTGCAATGTACAATCGGGATAGCATAGGGTACAACAAGTGTGACATAATTGAACCGAAAAAATACCAAAAAGTGTAAACCTTCATTTAAACTAATTAATTTTAAGTAATAAGTGGTTAAATCTAATTAATTATAATATTTCTAGATTTAGGACGAATTAACACAGGTAATGTAAGATAGTATTGGTGAGGAATTAAGCGTGCATTTAATATTCCAAAGGATATGAGTAATAATAGAGGAACATCAAGCAATAAATAGCAATAGATGACATTAGTGTAAATAAGGAGAATGGTTCACCCAATATTAAAGGAGGTGGATGATCCTTCTTTCTGACAGTGATGAATGACAGATAAATCCTAGAATATTTGAACTATTCTCGGATCTCATGAAAAAGTATGGAATAATAGATGGTGGAATCTTAGTAAAAAGGTTGTGTTTGTATCTTTTCTATAAAGAGAGTCTTCTTCTCAAAAAGTGTTCTTATCAAATGAAAATTACATACCCTATTCCCTTATGTCCTTTTCTATTTATATGGGACATATCCCTAATCAACCCTAATAGTACAAGTGTAGAGAATATTCAATGAAATATTCTCTTTAGTATCTTATTACAAAACTATCTATTAGTACTCTATCCTTGGTGCTCGACCTCGACCATCATTAACTGCCCGACCACGAGTCCCACTGTTTACTAGTCGACCTCGGCCGCATCATTTTCCTTACTTTCTCATCATGTTAAGTTCCCTTAGGGCAAATTTTGGCCTATACAGTTAGTCCATCCGCTTATAGAAGCAGACCCTGGATGACCTCGATGAGCAGACTCTGTCAGTTGTGATTGAGAAGTTTAGGCGAGCAGATCGGATAGTAGCGTTTCAGACGAGGTAGCAACGTGGCCTTTCATGAGCCGCAACCTTAGGTCACGTCGATTTAGAGTAACGTCATGACATCATGCGTTATTATTATGCGTTTTGCCGATGCCTTGCGTCGTTTCCCGTGCCTCTGCCATTTATACTTGAGCTGGGTAATAACGGTTTGCTTTCTCGATATTGATGTCTGAATTCTTATAAATAGGGATATGAAATCCTTTGCCTTATTCTTTGCAATCTTAGATATTGAATTCATATGTCTTCTTCTTCCTTCAGAGTTCTTGTTCTCATTACCTTTACTCCCGTATTCTTGCTTTCACCGATTTTGGTGACTTCTGCTACTCACGACTCTTATGTGCTTACATCTTCTATATATATAAATAAAGATGGTTAACGTTTCTTCTAGTTCTGAGGGGGCAACTGAACTTGTTCCTTTGGCAGTGCGCATGCCTCCCCATGATAATAGCGTTTTAGTTGTTGTTGAAGACGGGAACCTTCCTACGGTGGAGGAGATAATCGCTCGTAGTGACAACGACAGATCTGATTTTTCTAAGGTGCCTAAATACAACCCTGAGGTTTCGGTGTCGTTAATGAAGAAGGCTGCCTTTTGCCGAATTTAGGGAAAAATTCAAAATTCATGCTCATATCGACCTAATTCCAACTGGGCGTGACGTGGTACAAATACACCGCCCTGGGTACTACGCTTTCTATGCGTACCCTTTCCATGTCGGTTATTCTTTTCCTATCCTCCCCTTGGTCGACGAGTTCTGCCGCTATTACCGTGTTTGGCCGGCCTTACTTTCTCCATATATCTACAAACTCATCTGCATGATTACGAAGTATGCGGAGTTATCCAGGGTCGGGGTGTCGCTTTACCACTTGATGCATCTTTTTGCCCCTAATTTTTATAGGGGCTGATGCTACATCTTCGCCACCGGGAAAGCAAATGTTTGGTGCTGAAGATGGACTACAAGGCAAACCGTCAATTTTGGCTCAATTACTTATACGTCAAAACTGAGGATGTGGTGGTCAATGTAAGCGGGTTCCCCGAGATTTGGAACTATGCTCGTAAGCATCTGTCTCCCTTTTTCTCTCTCTTTTTTTATATTAAGTATTGATTCCACTAATTTTAGTCGTACTGACATCTTCTTCTTTCTTCGTGTAGCCGAGGCCGCAGCCCCTCCTTTGGTCGGAAACATTCACGATTGGGTTAGTCGGGTCCTCCCTCATACAACGGGGATTCGCAAATGGTCAGCCTTCCTCAAGAAGTTCGGGTATGCGCCTTCTGTGACCGGTGAGTTTACACAGTTAAATCTATATTGTTGTGGCCTTTTGGTCGCTTGTTTCTTATTATTTTATGGGGACCGACCTTTTAACCTTCTTTTCTTTTTTTATTCATCCCGGGGATCCTCGAGAAGGCTGAGGGCTCCTGCTCCTGCGTTTCGCAAGAGGAATACTACAAAGGAGTCTGCTCCGGCTGTGACTATGGCCAGGCCTGCCTAACTGTCCACTTCCATTCCACCTCCTATTGCGGCTAGGTCGGCTTGATCATCGACGGTATCAACACCAGAAACTCTGACCTCTCCCTTGCTTCATTTAATAGACGAGGAGTCGTCATCGAGCGAGGAGGGTTTGATCTCGCGTAAAAGGAGGTCAGTGAACATCGGCGATGGGACAATCCGAGCCATAGATTCTTCAAGGGATGATCGTGAGCTGAACACCGTCATGCTTGAAGATTATGCAGATATGTCGTCTGAAGTCATGCTATCAGCGGGGGCAATGGAAGGCGTACCTTTCCACGATGCCGAGGTTGGAGTTGGTGGGCCACCTGTGGAGGTTGCGGGTGTCGTGCTTCGAGATGAGCCGTCGTCCTCATTGTCGACTGACGTTCCTTCGTTCACCGATGGGAGAGATTAGGGCGTTGCTGAGGACAACTATGAAACGGGCTCCAATCTTGACGCCGATGAGGTACGGATGCTGAGCGAGAGGTTTACTCGGGTTGAAGGAAGGTCGGAAGGGTCCACTCGTACCATTGTAGTCTATATAGACCGGGACCTACTGTGAACACGGATGACGTAGTCCCTTCCTTAGGACCTCTTTACTCATGGAGGGCAAAACTCTCGAGAAACCAGAGGATGTTGCAGTATAGCCGGCCTTGCCATTAGGTAAACTTTTCCGACCTTTTCAATTATCGTGCCTTGCACTTTATTTTTTGATTGACTTTGGTTTTCTTCCTCTCTCTTTTTTATTTTTTATTTTAGACTATTATTTTGGAGATCGAGAGTTCTCACCTAGAGGAGAGGCGCAAAACCATTTTTCAGAAGATGGAGCGAAAGTACCGTGAATACCGCAACAAGCATCGCGAGATCTATAAGCAGTTTGGCGAGAGTGGCAAACAATGTCGATATGGTATGAGTTTCAAATCTCTTGTTTCCCATTCACCCTGAATTTGATGCACTAGGAGGTCCGAGTCCCCCAAGACCAAGACGTCCTGGACATCCATGTCTGCCGCTAATCGCAATCCCAAAATGCATGCTTCATACTCAGCCATGTTGTTGGTATAGTAGAAACGCAGTTGAGCTGTAACAGGGTAATGGTGTCCTGTTTCAGAAATAAGCACTGCTCATATTCCAACTCCCTTCGCATTTGCGGCTCCATCAAAGAAAAACTTCCAACCTGGTTCCTCAGGTAAGTTCAACTCATCTATATTCATTACTTCCTCGTCAGGAAAATACGTCCTCAACGTCTCATATTCTTCATCAACCGGATTCTCAGCCAAGTGATCTGCCAATGCTTGGGCCTTCAAGGCTGTCCTCGTCACGTAGACGATATTAAACTCCGTGAGTAGTATTTGCCATTTTGCTAACCTTCCTATGGGCATAGGCTTCTGGAAAATATACTTTAACGGATCCAACCAGGAAATGAGATAAGTAGTATATGAGGATAAATAATGTTTCAACTTCTGGGCTACCCAGGTTAGGGCACAACATGTCTTCTCGAGTTGAGTGTACTTAACCTCATATACTGTAAACTTCTTGCTGAGATAATAGATGGCTTGCTCTTTTCTTCCTGTAATGTCGTGTTGCCCCAACACGCAACCAAAAAAATTCTCCAGGACCGTTAGATAAAGAATTAACGGTATTCCCGGCTCAGGGGGAACCAATACAGGTGGATTTGAAAAATATTCTTTGATCTGGTCGAATGCCTCCTGGCATTCTGCCGTCCATCCTATTGCAGCATCCTTCTTCAACAGCCAAAAAATGGGTTCACAGGTTGCTGTGAGCTGAGCAATAAATCTGCTGATGTAATTCAATCTTCCCAACAGACTCATTACTTCGGTCTTGTTCTTCGGCGGTGGCAACTCTTGGATAGATTTAATTTTTGATGGATCCAGTTCAATACCTCGCCGACTGACGATGAATCCCAAAAGCTTCCCAGATGGAACACCAAATGCACATTTGGCCGGGTTGAGCTTAATATCATACCTTCGAAGTCTTTGAAAGAACTTCCTTAGGTCTGCTACGTGGACTTCCTGATGCTTGGACTTTATGATTACATCGTCTACGTACACTTCGATTTCTTTGTGGATCATGTCATGAAACATAGTGGTCATTGCTCTCATGTACGTTTCCCCATAATTCTTCAAACCAAATGGCATTACCCGGTAGAAATAAGTTCCCCACGGCGTAATGAAGGCTGTCTTTTCCGCATCTTCCTCATCTATCAGATTCTGATGATACCCAGCATAACAATCCACAAAAGACCCGATCTCACGTCCGACACAATTGTCGATCAAGATATGGATGTTAGGTAAAGGAAAGTTGTCTTTAGGGCTTGCCCTATTCAGATTGCGGTAATCGATACACACCCTGATCTTTCCATCTTTCTTTGGTACCGGCACCACATTAGCCAACCAATCAGGATATCGAGTGATACGAATAACCTTTGATTGCAGCTGCTTGGTTACTTCTTCTTTAATCTTCACACTCATATCCGTTTTGAACTTCCTCAATTTTTGCTTGACGGGAGGGCATATCGGGTCAATGGGCAATTTATGAACCACTAAATCTGTGCTTAACCCCGGCATGTCATCATATGACCATGCA